CTTCCAAACCTTTAAATCGATTTATCTCCTTAAATATGGCTCTAATCGCGAAAAGAGGGGTGTTCAGATGCTCGAAATTTTACCTGGATTTTCCAGTATATAATATTTCAAAAACTTTTATTTGTCAGCTGGTGGACCTTCCAAACCTTTAAATCGATTTATCTCCGTAAATATGGCTCTTATCGCGAAAAGAGGGGTGTTCAGATGCTCGAAATTTTTATACCTGGATTTTCTAGTATATAATATTCCAAAAACTTTTATTTGTCAGCTGGTGGACCTTCCAAACCTTTAAATCGATTTATCTCCGTAAATATGGCCCTAATCGCGAAAAGAGGGGTGTTCAGATGCTCGAAATTTTACCTGGATTTTCCAGTATATAATATTCCAAAAACTTTTATTTATCGGCTGGTGGACCTTCCAAACCTTTAAATCGATTTATCTCCGTAAATAGGGCTCTAATCGCGAAAAGAGGGGTGTTCAGATGCTCGAAATTTTCATACCTGGATTTTCTAGTATATAATATTCCAAAAACTTTTATTTGTCGGCTGGTGGACCTTCCAAACCTTTAAATCGATTTATCTCCGTAAATATGGCTCTAATCGCGAAAAGAGGGGTGTTCAGATGCTCGAAATTTTCATACCTGGATTTTCCAGTACATATTATTCCAAAAACTTTTATTTGTCGGCTGGTGGACCTTCCAAACCTTTAAATCGATTTATCTCCGTAAATATGGCTCTAATCGCGAAAAGAGGGGTGTTCAGATGCTCGAAATTTTCATACCTGGATTCTCTAATGTATAATATTCCAAAAACTTTTATTTGTCGGCTGGTGGACCTTCCAAACCTTTGATCCGATTTATCTCCGTAAATATGGCTCTAATCGCGAAAAGAGGGGTGTTCAGATGCTCGAAATTTTCATACCTGGATTTTCAAGTAAATAATATTCCAAAAACATTGATTTGTCGGCTGGTGGACCTTCCAAACCTTTAAATCGATTTATCTCCGTAAATATGGCTCTAATCGCGAAAAGAGGGGTGTTCAGATGCTCGAAATTTTCATTCCTGGATTTTCCAGTACATAATATTCCAAAAACTTTTATTTGTTGGCTGGTGGACCTTCCAAACCTTTAAATCGATTTATCTCCGTAAATATGGCTCTAATCGCGAAAAGAGGGGTGTTCAGATGCTCGAAATTTTCATACCTGGATTTTCAAGTAAATAATATTCCAAAAACATTGATTTGTCGGCTGGTCATGGACCTTCCAAACCTTTAAATCGATTTATCTCCGTAAATATGGCTCTAATCGCGAAAATAGGGGTGTTCAGATGCTCGGAATTTTCATTCCTGGATTTTCCAGTATATAATATTCCAAAAACATTTATTTGTCGGCTGGTCATGGACCTTCCAAACCTTTAAATCGATTTATCTCCGTAAATATGGCTCTAATCGCGAAAATAGAGGTGTTCAGATGCTCGGAATTTTCATTCCTGGATTTTTCAGTACATAATATTCTAAAAACTTTTATTTGTCGGCTGGTGGACCTTCCAAAACTTTAAATCGATTTATCTCCGTAAATATGGCTCTAATCGCGAAAAGAGGGGTGTTCAGATGCTCGAAATTTTCATACCTGGATTTTCCAGTATATAATATTCCAAAAACTTTTACTTGTCGGCTGGTGATCCTTCCAAACCTTTAAATCGATTTATCTCCGTAAATATGGCTCTAATCACGAAAAGAGGGGTGTTCAGATGCTCGAAATTTTCATACCTGGATTTTCCAGTATATAATATTCCAAAAACATTTATTTGTCGGCTGGTGGACCTTTCAAACCTTTAAATCGATTTATCTCCGTAAATATGGCTCTAATCGCGAAAAGAGGGGTGTTCAGATGCTCGAAATTTTCATACCTGGATTTTCCAGTATATAATATTCCAAAAACATTTATTTGTCGGCTGGTGGACCTTTCAAACCTTTAAATCGATTTATCTCCGTAAATATGGCTCTAATCGCGAAAAGAGGGGTGTTCAGATGCTCGAAATGTTCATTCCTGGATTTTCCAGTATATATTATTCCAAAAACTTTTATTTGTCGGCTGGTGGACCTTCCAAACCTTTAAATCGATTTATCTCCGTAAATATGGCTCTAATCGCGAAAAGAGGGGTGTTCAGATGCTCGAAATTTTCATACCTGGATTTTCCAGTACATATTATTCCAAAAACTTTTATTTGTCGGCTGGTGGACCTTCCAAACCTTTAAATCGATTTATCTCCGTAAATATGGCTCTAATCGCGAAAAGAGGGGTGTTCAGATGCTCGAAATTTTCATACCTGGATTCTCTAATGTATAATATTCCAAAAACTTTTATTTGTCGGCTGGTGGACCTTCCAAACCTTTGATCCGATTTATCTCCGTAAATATGGCTCTAATCGCGAAAAGAGGGGTGTTCAGATGCTCGAAATTTTCATACCTGGATTTTCAAGTAAATAATATTCCAAAAACATTGATTTGTCGGCTGGTGGATCTTCCAAACCTTTAAATCGATTTATCTCCGTAAATATGGCTCTAATCGCGAAAAGAGGGGTGTTCAGATGCTCGAAATTTTCATTCCTGGATTTTCCAGTACATAATATTCCAAAAACTTTTATTTGTTGGCTGGTGGACCTTCCAAACCTTTAAATCGATTTATCTCCGTAAATATGGCTCTAATCGCGAAAAGAGGGGTGTTCAGATGCTCGAAATTTTCATACCTGGATTTTCAAGTAAATAATATTCCAAAAACATTGATTTGTCGGCTGGTCATGGACCTTCCAAACCTTTAAATCGATTTATCTCCGTAAATATGGCTCTAATCGCGAAAATAGGGGTGTTCAGATGCTCGGAATTTTCATTCCTGGATTTTCCAGTATATAATATTCCAAAAACATTTATTTGTCGGCTGGTCATGGACCTTCCAAACCTTTAAATCGATTTATCTCCGTAAATATGGCTCTAATCGCGAAAATAGAGGTGTTCAGATGCTCGGAATTTTCATTCCTGGATTTTTCAGTACATAATATTCTAAAAACTTTTATTTGTCGGCTGGTGGACCTTCCAAAACTTTAAATCGATTTATCTCCGTAAATATGGCTCTAATCGCGAAAAGAGGGGTGTTCAGATGCTCGAAATTTTCATACCTGGATTTTCCAGTATATAATATTCCAAAAACTTTTACTTGTCGGCTGGTGATCCTTCCAAACCTTTAAATTGATTTATCTCCGTAAATATGACTCTAATCGCGAAAAGGGGGGTGTTCAGATGCTCGAAATTTTCATCTAAATTCAGTTCCTTTATTTTGCTGATTGCCTTCAGTTCAGTTCGTCTTGCTATTAACAAAGCCTTCTCAATGGTGTCGACTTTGGCATCACCTACTTCATTATCGATGATGCGACGTTTTCCTCTTTCTCTCAAGTCCCAGAAAGGTTTTGAAGGTCGTCCACGTTTTGCTGCTATTTCCAAGGTTGAAGCAACGTTCTGATCATGTCCAATGAATTGTTCAATGCCAAAATATCCATGAAGTTGATTCCGAAAATATTACTAAAATCGCTCTTTCATGCGATAGCTTCATGAAACTTTTTCTTGTATTTAGTGACAACGCAATGACAAAAATAATTTATATTCTGAGACCTAGGCGTATTCTGAGACGATACTGCCGTGAAGCAAACAGAAATTTCTGACTTTTCGATCGTATTTATATTTTGATTTGTATATTTTTGAAATCAATGCATTAGTTACGGACTAAAAGGACAAAAACCATTATAAAAATACTGGTTTCATTCTCAATTTCTGAAGTATAACTTTTCATCCAGAAGGCTATCCACAATCCACTTTGAAAGATTTTCAGGAATGTTAGGCTCCTGCGTAGATAATCGCACATCCAAATGTTGATACTTAACAACCCCCATAAATTATCCACGTGGAATTTACACGAATCATGGAATTGTTTCACACGGTGTCGTGTTTATGAATCTATTATTAAAACCTTGCTAAAGCCACCTAAGATAACACTATCATCCGATCCATGGCAACTTCAAACTGCTTAGAAAACGCATTCCAGAAAAAAAAACTCACATAAACTCCCCTCAAAAATCTTTAAACCTATTACGTAATCTCATACATAAATATACGTAACTAAATTAGTGCCAAATTGTCATGCTCACGACGAGAACCTCTCTTCTCGTTTCCCAACCACCAAACCAAATTGCATGCCATAGCACCATTTGTTTCATCCAGCTCCCTAACCTACCCCAACAACAGGTTGGGAAAACCATGCCATCGCAACACCAGGAATGACCATACTTGGACACCATGTGCCTTGGCTCGTTCCACACTAACCTGATGTGAACAGAAGCGAAATATAAAAAGGAATTACAGGCACCTCTAAGGCTCCCTCAAGCCGTAACCTGTTATTCAACACACAAAGTGTAACCCGCTGGTCCTCTCCTAACCCCATCCATTCGAATGCCCTTCGACTTTGCCTCGCCTGCCCGTTGAATGAGGTTAGAGGCCTATCGTGTGCAGCAAATATAGAACCTACAACCCACGAACAGAGCCACAATCGTTCCCATCGCCGCGCCGTCATGCAAAGTGTACCTCGGGTAAGGTGGGGTAATATGACCAACAGCGTTTGTTTATGTGTTTTTCAAAACTATGTTTCTTGCCCAGAATTACCAGAGCAATCAGTTGGAAAACTTTTCACATCAATTGGTCTTTGAAAAGTACGAGAAATAAGGCTGTTGGCGCGTATTACACCCTGTTCCCTTACCTACTGCTGGCTGGTTGTACCAACTGACTGAGTTACATACAAGCCCATAAAAATCCTTCCCCCCATCCCCAACCGGTGCACCCATATCCCAATAGTGTTTTGCTTAGTTGTAGTCGCCTATATTTATGGCGAAAATCAATTCCTCCACTAACGACTTCTCCGCTTCTTCTAACCACATTATTTGCTTCGTTTATTTTCAGACCAATCGGCCGCCACAATGCAATATGGTAATAATGTTTGGCTACCAGCAACGTCATCAGCGTGATACCTTAGGCATATACGTAGCCCAAGCGAGAGGAGCGAGTGAGAAAAGTAGTAAAGTGAAAAAAATTGTGCAAATAAAATACCCCACGGACCCTCCTCGCGCACCCACTGGTGTCCTCCGAGCCGTGCAGTGTGTTCCAAGTGTCAGCGCGGGAAGATAGATGTCGTGACATTTTCCCCCCCCTGGGTGGATTTATGGCTCCAGGAGAAGGTAGGTAGAATATTTCCAATATCGTATCACCTCTCGCATCTTATGTAAGCCCCAAGTCGCCTGGGAGTTCTAAATTACTCTGAAATTGTGTTGAAATTTGCAAACCTGGCATGAATCGAATCGAAGTTGGCACAGGTTCGAAAATAAGCGTCTCGCAATTGACAACACAACAATTGAAGCTGTCTGTCAGCAGTTGGGAAGGGTTTCTGTTGGTTGTCAACGAAATCAACACATTCTACCTCGCTCAGTTGTTTTCATGGGTTGCGTAAAAGTCTTGTTTCCCAGACGACCCGAATCCAACGGATGATGTAGGATCAACAAAGGCAAAAATAAAATCAAATCTATATCGAAACATCAGCTGCGGTGTAGGTAGGATGTATGTGGAAGTCGACTGGGTGAATTTAGATTGATCTTGTCTACAAACGATTGATGGCAACGTGGGTGGGGGAGCTATGGGGATCACGTTTTATTGATTTGAAATAGCACGTTTTTCAGGGGTTTAGCTGCAGTCATCGAAACACTTATTGATCCTAACGAGTGTGTTGTGGAAATAGGTCTGCTTGAGAAGATGTATTATTTTCATAGTTTAGATTCTGGGTGAGGTTTTGGAAATTTCCTCCAGTCTTCCTGAAGTGTTCTCACTTCACTCGAACATGGAGCATAAGGCTAGCTTTTTCTAAGGCTTTATGGTTGTTTAGTTCACTAGGCTTGAAGTGAACTAAATAAAAATCATTAGAAATCCCGTTGCGCGAATCGTCAATACGGGATATCATTTTCATTTTTGATGCTTTGACTGGCTCAAATCCTAGTAATGTTTGTCAATTCATCATTGATCTGATCCAGGGATCCACCACTGGGCAGACCTTTGAAGACAACCTTGAACAGACATTCAGTTTTGGTGTCATAAGTGAAAATGTTGTGTTCCTTCTTAGAAAGATACTTGGGAAGACGTTTGAATCCGTCCAAGGTTTCAGTTAATACACGGCATTCACCCCAACGGCCAATTTGAAATAAAACCTTGAATTTAACGAAGTTCAAATGTTCCGTGCACAGAGCATCATATTATCACAATAGGGGGACCTTTTCCTTCTTGGCATTAAACCGGGAATATTTAATTGAATTTTACCTAGATGAAAGATCGTTCTCATTATCCGTGAGCATATCAAATTGATTGCTCAAATACATTTCATCAGAAGCGGGATCAAGAGATTGCTTTCTTATGCTTCAATTGGCCATTGCATGTTTGATTTTCGGATTTTAAATTTTTGTCGAGGCGGTAGACAAGCGGTTTCAACAGGTTAAAACTGATTGATTTCTCCTTGCATATTTTTCCCAGAATGCTACTAAAAAATATCTAGTAGAATACTACATTGTCGAATTTTTAATTACGCATAATATAATATGGATATTTCGTTGGGGCCTCCCTTAGCTCAGTCGGTAAAGGCGCAGCTACAAAGCAAGACCATGCTGGAGGGGGCTGGGTTCAATTCCCGGTCCGGTCTAGGAATTTTTCGGGTTGTGAAAATTTCTCGACTTCCCTGGGCATAGAAGTATGATTGTACTTGCCACACAATTATACCAATGCAAAAATGGTACAGGCATCGAAAGCTCTCAATTAATAACTGTGGAAGTGCATCTAGAACACTAAGTTGAGAGGACGCAATAAGCTAATATGCGATATGCAATAAGCTTGAAATGCGAAGAAGAAGAAGAAGAAGAATATTTCGTTGCAATGACAAAAACAGTTAACGTGTCATATTAATGAAAAATTGAGGAAACAACATTTCCAATGGGCAGCAATGCTCCATTAAAACTCAAAAATGGCATTAAAATACCTAAAAAAAAACTCCAAGCTGCATGATTGCCTTAAAAACAAAAAATCAAACCTAGACCAAAAAATGACAAATTAGTTTAAAAGCGCATGAGTAGTATCAAAACGACAATTTCGTATTAAAACTTATTAGAAAAGCTTCTTAAATCGAAGAAATGTTACTAAAAAAATCAATATCGAGCCAACTTTCAATGCCAAAATTATTTTACAAATACAAAAAAAAAACATAACATCGCAAAAATGGCCTAAAAACGGTTAAATGAGTTTAATAAAAAAAAAACATCCTGAAAACCAGGGGTTCTGAGACAACTGATCGAATGAAAAACGTCGAATGACAAGAGGAATGGTTCAAAGAGGGACAAAAGGTCGAATAACCCAAAGAGGAACATAAAGTCGAATAGACTAAACGTCGAATGTTGACAAAAGATCGAAAGGGACACTGTGTATTAAGATCCAATTATCATTATTTTTCCTTCATTTCATCACCGCTCTTTCTTTCTTATAACCTCTGGTTGAATCCTTCGGAACAGTATTGGAATGACTTTATTATGTTTTTTTAAACGGTTTACAAGTTAATTATAGATTGTATAAACTTTCTACTGTCCCCATCCGTAGTTACACTAACACTGAAAGTTAGAATTGCATTATCGATATTATTCCTTCTTTTGATCACTGCTCGTTCATATAGCCAAAAAATCAATTTTGATAATTAGTCATTTCATATTCATCGTAACGGTATCTTAAATCGGTCAAGTATTCTTCCCACTATTTGTCATCTGGCCAAGTGGGCTTCACATCAAAATGTACCACCATTCGACGTTTTGTCTCTCTTTGAATCATTCCCTGTTTTTGTATCATTCAACCTTTTTCCTCCCTTCTCATCATTCGATCTTTTGTCCATTCGACGTTTTTATGTAGCCCTCTTTGAATCATTCGACCTTTTGTCCGTTTGACCACATTCAACCTTTTGTCCATTCGACCTTTTGTCCATTCAACTTTTTGTACCTCTTCTCATCATTCAACCTTTTGTCCATTTGTACCTTCGACCTTTTGTCCTTTAGACATTTTATAATCTATGATTTCGGTCCTTTTCACATATTTTGGATTTCCTACTTAGTAAAACATGGTTAAATTCAGGACCTCATAAAAATGCGAATACATATTCTATTACATTTGGTTTCAAAATTACATTTGGTTCCAAAATCAGATATGAGTAAGGATTTCTTCAGGTAATTCATTGAAGCGTCCAACAATGACCGTCATGATGGCTGATATTCCCTATCACTTCAAGATTTCTAGGGCAAAAAACTTGGACGGTTGTGACATCATGAAATTGAAACTCCTTGTGAACACAATTTTGCACCAATGGTATGCAACAATTCGTAATTGATCGGGAATATCTCGATTAGCCATAAATACTTCCAAGAGGTTCTCGGCACATCTTTTAACTACCGATTGAGCAAAACAAAATTACTAAATATTACTGTTTTTTTTAGATTTCGTTCGCGTTTGTAGACGCACATGCATCATTTGGCATAAGAACATTGGTGGGAAAAAAGTGACTTCCATATCTGTCACAGATTACAAATCCGACAGTGAACATACATACATAAGAACGTAACCGCTATGATCGATTTTTTCTTTTGTTAATAACTCGCTTGGATTAACATTTCTCGGTGCGTTTACTGTTGCTTTTGATAGCCAATACAACCTGTTCAGCACTAAATTGAAAAAAAAAATCAGATAATATTCAAGCTGAACATTGCATTAGGTCCTAAGTAACATTGATCGATTCTCTTCGTGGACTTTCTCTTTCGTTAATAGCTTGAGCATATAACCGTTCCTTGTTGTGTTTGTCATATTAGATGCTAGATAAAAGCTTCTTTTATCGATCTGTGTGCTGAAAATACCTGGGAATGTCTATACATGGCCAAGTCGACGAAGTCTATACAAGGAGAAAGTCGACGAAGAGAATATTTTCAATGTAAATTAGGAGCTAATGCAATGTTCAGCTTGAATTGTTTCGCTTAACTGTAGCAAAGTAAAGAGGGGAAATCGATGAAGAGAATCGATCAGTGCAATTAGGCCCTTTTGAATGCTTACTGTCGAATTTCAGTACCTATCTATGAAAAAACTCGACGGTACCTCTATTTATGCTAAAAGATAAGCATTGTAAGTCCCTCCACTTGGAGAATTATGCAATCGAACGGTTAATTTTCCAAGTAGGATGGACTTTCATAGCTTATCTAAAAGCATAACTAGAGGTACCGTCTGATAATTTCTGTGTTTGGTATAGAAATCTGTAATCTGTATAGGGAAATTCTTTTTTTTTCCACCACAGAAACACCACGTTTTCTTATGCAAAACAATGGAGAATTAAATGGAGGGATTTCAAGCTAAAATGTTCCTATCGCGAGATATTCACGATTAATACCGAAATTTAGCATAAATGTCCAACCCGCATAAATGTGTTTGTGTGTGCTGCTGATTTTCACTGTTGCCCAATGCTTAGGGAACTTTTATAAATAACGTAGTAATTGAGAGGGGAAAATTTTTACGTCATTTATGGGTGGTTCCTAATTTTACTTCCAATGCTGTATTCCAATAGGTGAGTTAAATTTTGGAAGTTTTTCTCGATTAAGTTTTCGAAGGGACGTATCAGCTTTTGTAAACAACGCATTTGATTGTCGATTTGGCGTAACTGGTAGCTCACCCACGCATGGTGGTGGTGTTAGTATGCGTGGGCGAGCTATCAGTTACATCAAACCGACGATAAAATGCGTTGTTTACAAAATCTGATACGTCCTTTCGAAAAAGTAATCAAGATTTGTAGAACGCGGCAGCATTATCATTCAGGCAAGGAGGTGGATCCACTTCGGAGCGCTTGCGCCATCAGCCAGTTAACTCGACGGGAACGACGCGCAAGGCTCGAGGTACAAAACTCAAACGCTGCGCGATTGACAGAAACCTTCCTACTACTGCTGCTGCTGCTACCTACTCGCCCGCCGTCCGAAGCGAAAATGAGTTGAAAATGTGCAACCAAATGGTATTTGAATATGATGACGACCGGGTTCTGGGAAAACGTTTATTTCATGAAAACAGTGATAAAATTATCACTTTTTTTGCACATTTTTCAACAGTTTTTCATGGAAAATTGAAAATCAATCAT